CCGTACCAGAGTACACATGTGTGGTAAAAGCACTCATACCTCACCTGTTTCTGCATGTGACAGCATACCACACATACTTCTCTGTATGCGCTTCTTATTAGTTCAAGCACGTCGCCTGGAAACGACTCCTTCCCAACACACATGACCTACTACTTCACTTTTATTAGTATGTTTGCAGTATGCAATGATTACATTTATTATGGGGAACTGATACACATATATAACACATCCTAATTCCTTTTTCCTCCCCTTCTGCAAGTGACCTAGTTGTTGTTTTTTTTTTTTTTTTTTTTTTTTTTTTTTTGGTTTGGTTTAGTTGGGTTGGGTTTTCTGAGACACAGTCTCACTATATAGTTCAGGCTGGCCTTGAACTCCTTATGTAGCCCAGGCTAGTTTGAATTCACCTCAGTCCTCCTGTGTCAGCCGCCCAACTGCTGAGATTACAAGCATGCACCACAATGCTTAGCTGTGACCTACTATTTTGAACAGTAGCAGCATGCAACCCTAAGGAGACACTATATATCCATCAAATGACTACTAATATACATTTAAATTGCTTCCAAGGTCTCACTACTACAAACAACACTGCTGCAATGAATAAATGTTAACATATACCTACATCCACATAGCTATAATTTTTTTAAGGATTTTACTATGTAATTCAAGCCGAGCCTGAACTCACTTTGTAGTCCAGGCTGGCCTCAAAATCTTAGCAATCTGTCTGCCTCAGCCTCCCAAATGCTGGAATTACAGTCTATACCTCTAAACCTGGCACATACTTATAAAATAAAGGTTGAATTTATAAGTAAAGTCCTCGGCATGGAATTGTAGGGTCAGAAGGCATGTGTGCTTAGCAGGGCTGGTAGGTTATGCTCCTTTTCTCTCCCACCCATGGTGGAAGGGGTGTGCCGGTTTGTCCTCCCGCATTCACAGAAGGTGACTGTGTCTTGTTTTGTCTTTAAATATAAGGAAAGAAAGGAGGCAGAGCTCCACTCTCACCCCATTGTTCCTTTTTGCCCCATGAATCACTCATAACAATACCACTTCCTGAGAATTCTACCCCTGGACGCATAACCCCAGATGACAGCTTAAAATAGAACACAGGGCCCAACCAGTGGCCTGAGGCAACCAGCACACACCAGCTCCAGAAGCCTGGCTGTGCTCATTTATTCCCAGCTCCAGTTCAGTGACATCAGAGAGGTGGTGAGTGCTACGGACCAGGGCTTTTTCTTTCTTAAGGGACCACCTTTACGCTTTACCACTAACCTTGCAGGTGGGTCTTTGGAAGGTGATTGGATTATGAGGGGTTGTGGATTAGATTCCCCCCCACACACAGCCTCCTGCAACCCTAGGTTGGTTTTGGGGAAGTGAGTGGGTTATGGGGGCTGACGGTTTACTTGCTATTAGGAGATGGGGTCTGGTGGAGAGAGGAGTGGCCAGGTGGGCACGATGACCCGGAACGGTCCATCTTCCTGCCCAGCACCGACCCTGATTCTCTCTGCTTCCTGTCCACCATGAGGTGAGCAGCTCTCCTCCACCATGCTTCCCTGCTTTGGAGCCAGCATATTCCTGACTGAAACCTCCACAAACTTAGCCAAAATGAACCACTCTTCAAGTTGTCAGTGTTGAGTCATGTGTCTCAGAAAGGGACTGAGACACGAGGGCCCTACAGCCGAGCTGCTATCAGGAGGTGGGGCCTGGTGGGAAGGCCAGGTCACAGAGGACAGGACCTGGGAGGCTGTGTCGCCCTCCCCAGAGCCTTGCCCCCCACTCTCCATTCCCCAACTGCCGCGATGGGAGCAGCGTTCCCTCCACGATGCCCCTTGGTCATGTGGTCCTGCCTCGGCCATGGCAGACTGTGGACCAGAGATGACGGACCTTTTAGAGCTTTGTATGATGCTCACAGCTGCTGCAGCAGCACACCTGCCATCAGTTCACCACCACTGCTGTGGACCAGTAGCCTGAGCTGAAATAAAAACTCTCCTCTCTAACATTGTAGGTGTGGGGTACTGTGTCCTAGCATCACAAAAGTGACTGAGACACAAGGGCACATGTTTCCAGCACAACAGTGCGTACTGGCACGGAATCTGAAGTTTTGCTCTAGATGCTGACCAGGTTACAAATCCTTGGACCCTAAGGCCCAGAGGCCATGGAACCCTTATGTTTTCTAACACTCCTCTCCCTAGTCCTTCTCTGCAGATGTGAGTGCTGCTCCATCTCTGTGGCTCTATGCTCATTCTTGCTGATATCTCATAGTGTGGTAATGTGACATAGACTCTAGACTACACCAGTCGGCTTAGGGGGAAATCCCAGCTCTGCAACATACATTTGGAAACATGACCTGGGCGAGTGGCAGGAGTTGCCTTAGTTTCCTTGTCTACAAAACACAGATGGTAAGTAATGCCTCATCATAATTTTGGTTGCAGATTAAATGAGTAAATACAAGCAAAGTATGCAAAACAGTCTTGTAGACTACATACTTGACAAACTCTAGCTGTTATTAGTGTCTTCCAATTCATTAACTCTCTCTTTAGCTATAGCTAATCTTTCGCTTAATTATTTTGTTAAGGTTTTTTTGGTTTTTGTTTTTTTGTATTTTGTTTCTTTTGGTCATTTTGAAACAAGGTCTCTCTATGTACTTCAGACTGGCCTTGGACCCATTTTGTAGTGCAGGCTGGTTTTGAACTTGCAACAGCCCTCCTGCCTCAACCTACCAAGTTCTGGGATTACAGGAGTGCATCACCCGGTTATTTTGTTAAACTTAAATTGTAATGACTTTCTTATTTCAATTCTTGCAATTCAAAATTCTTAATTTTTTTTATTTTTATCACTTTGATATTCTTAGATTTTAATCATTTTAAGTATACAACTTACAGCCTCTTTAAGAGGACCCTATTCCTTGAAACTTGAGAGTGTTTTGTTTTCTCAATAGTTTATAGTTTTTGCTAGTGAACGCATCTTCAGCAAAGGTAGTTCTTGCTGTGGGAGTCTCATTAGGCACTGATTATTAAAATATTCCTATGGAGGGACTTCGTGTTTGCAGTGGGGAGTTGGATGGCACAAGACCAGTATGTTAACTGTTCAATTTAAAGCAGCTTATATTTCAAGGGTCATAAAATCACAGGTTCTAGGCACAGGCCACCACTGGTCAGGCTCACTGCTCTCGCAGAGTACCTACCTATTACACTTTGACTTCGAAAACACATAAGTATAAAAATAAATAAGAATATAAATCTGGCATGACCACACAGAGTACGGTGCCAGGCTTTCAATTTCTCGCTGTTGCCATTTGTTGACTCCAGGTGAGCTCCAGGCAGTGGGGCTTTCCCAGCTCCCTTCCATGAAGTCGAACACATGAAGCTCCAGAGCTATTCAACCCTTCCTGGACCTCAGACTCAGTTCTAGGCCCAGGTGGTGTTAAAACCCCAGCCTCCAGACTCTGGGGCTTCTGGCTGGGTGCAAAAGCTCCATGAAGCTTGAGAGTGCAAGCAACCACCAGCCTTACACTTCTCTCTTCATTTTTAACAGTGATGAGTTTCCCTTTTTTGAAGCTCTTCCCTGGATATAACTCTTGTATTTCTGTCAACTGTATGATCATATCAGGAAGGAATCACACAAATCATCTTAGTCCATCTTATTGCCAGAAGTGTTCCGGGCTGCCAAACCCACTAAAACCACTTACACAGGCTTCAGTTCCATAGGCACTAGCACTGAAACTTACTCCAGGGTTGGCATTGAAAGTTAGCATACTAAGAAAATTGAAGAGTCTAAACTCCCAACTGAAAATCTCACAGCAAAGACTCACACTGGAGCCTAGCAAACCATCTACCATGCAACGAAGCCAGTTTTCTGAGTGCTGGGGTAGGTTTCTTAGTCTGAACACCATCTGAATTAGCTGGCTTGGATTTGAGGGCCAGGTTGTGTGATAATTAAAATCTATAAATATAAGGAACACTTGATGGCACAAGATGCCATGGGCACAAAGCCTGGCAGAGGGAAGGGCAGACCCACGCCTCCCATTCACACTCACTCTGAGAGGCGCCCACTGGGTGCAAAGCAAGGGTCACGCAATCTAAAGCATCATTTTTCTCTCTACTTCGTTTGCGCTGAGCAAGTGTGTTTGCATATGGGCAAGTCAGAAACATGCATCTATGACAATAAAAATCAGAATCATGGTTATCTCTTTGGCAAACTAACTGCAAAGGGGCAAGAGAGAATATCCAGGGATGGCATGAATAATGAATATCCTGGTGTGGGGGTGGCAAGGTGGGTGTAACATGTTAAAAATTCATCAAGCTGTATGATTAAGCGTCATGCACTTGACAGCATGTATAGCTCCATTAAAATGTAAGTCCTAAGCGTGTCTGAGCAGGCTGCCACAAGGCACTCTGCCAAGGGTCTCCAGCCAATGGTGAAGCCTGGCCACAGCCTCTGGCCCAAGGGAAAGCACTGTGGCCTAGAGAAGACGAGGCAGAAGACTGTGCCTTGTGGGATGGAAGATACCTAGGTGCAAAGAATGCATGTTTTCCCAGGAGGGGCCCTGCAGGATGACCGGATCCCTGGCTTTGGAGGCACACTGCCTGCTTGGGAACACTGAGTCCACCCCTGACGAAGATGACCTTGGGCGAGGAGTTCCCTTCCTTTAACCTCAACTTTGTGCGCTGCAGTGAGGCTCCACTGAGGTCCTGACATTCAGCACAGGATCTCCCCATAGCACTCAGTACAGATGAACTAGCATTACTGTTCATGGTGACAAGAAGGCTGAATGTGCTGCCTTCCCTCCAAAACAGGGTAACTGAAGTTAATACCTCACCGGTTCTGAACAGACATTCAGGGGGCACATGAAAGAATGCATTCAACAGAAGCAGAGCTCTGACGTCTACTGAATAAACGCACCCTGGCCGTCACCACCCGTGTCACTGTCTTCTTGTAGTGAAGTGGTAATGAGCACAGGCCCTGGAGCCAGAGGGCCAAGGTCCCACCCCAGCTCTGTTACTTACCGACTTGGTAACCTCGAACTGGTGATTCACGCTCTAGGTCCTGAGTGTCTTCTCCTGTAAGAGAATTACAGCAGGGAGTTTGTGAGTTGCAGCAGTCTTGGGCACACACACGTGTGCATGTGCACACACATACACACCTGTAAATCCTCACCACTATGATTTGTTCTCCCATTCCAGAGACTCAGCCTGGGAATAACAACTTCAAGTCACACCTGCAGAGCCCAAAACATTTTACAGGACTGTTTCACCAACAGTCTACTTTTCTCACTAAGCACTCAAAACAGTAACAGGGGGCCGGGAGTTTGGCTCAGCGGCATCAGTGCCTGCTTGGCAAACGTGAAGTCGTGAGTTCGATCCCCAATACCAAAAAAAAAAGGTAATATGTATTACAAATCAAGAATAGTGATTCAAAGAAGTTGAGTAACCTGCTGAAGGTGGCAGAGGGAAGAGCAGAGACCTGAAATGAGGTCCTCCAGGGACAGACGGGCTGGACTGTGTTGCCCCCGAGGCAGTGCAGGGGCTCAGTGGACCCTGGGAGTTTCCAAATTTTGAACCTAAAGACACTGAACTCTGGGCAGAAGCACCAAGTCTTGGTCCCAGCAAAAGGCTCAGCTTCCTGCGAGGTGAAACTTCTGAGGACAGCCTTTCTAGGCCCGAACCACCTCTTATTTTACATTTGTACTTTGCATGGAAGGAAAGGACAGCAAACACGTACATTGCACAGGCCTTGTCACCGCCAAAAATCTCCTACAGAAACAAAGCTTATGAATCAAAGATAGCTCTCAGAAAACCACAGTGAGACAAGGTCTCATTTATGCATTCACTAGCACTTTTGCATGAAAACTGGAGCGCAGACCACAGCACAGCATCTAGACTCCCTTATTATTGGAAGGAAGTGAAACAGAATGCCTTTTTTTTGGCCTTTATTTTTTATTAAATCTTTAACTGCCTTAGTGTTTCTGCTTTGCTTTTCATTAGGTGCTGATACCACTGGAAGCCACTTAGCCGCCCCTGTTTTATTGACAAAAGGTTTGAGGCCAGGTCTCACTGCCTGGGAAACTGTTACCTGCTGATAATTCCTACCGCTGCTGCGCGGGCCAGCACCTCTGCGGCCAGCACAGGCTTTCTTTCTGCTGCTGCTCTTCTCACTTTCCCATGAGCACAGTTTAATGTTTCCCTTTAAACAACAACACAGGACAGCTCTGAGGCCAGAGAGGGAGGATTCACCTCCCTGAGATGAAGAACCACCTCAGCACACTCACACACTATTTTCTCAGGCATGTGCACACCCTACGTGTACACACACATTATGGACACACATGTTCATTGCCACAGCACACGCACACTCCACATGAGCCACATGTGCACACCAGGAACCTGCACACACCCCATACAAGTACTTCACACATGCATGCCCAGACTCCTGACCACAGATCTCCTGTCTCTTCTTACTACGCCTTACTACAGTAACAATAGCTTTTCCTTCTAAGTCTTTAACCGTATTTACAAAATGGAACGATTTATTCACTTGGGAAATTCTTTAGGGTTTTTGGCAAAGCCCTAGAAATCAGAAAAAGCACACAGACTCACTCTCAGAAAACCTGTTTGTAAGAACACTCAGAGGAGCTAACAGTTGTATCACTCGGAGACAAACCCATGACACAGTGTGGCCCTGGCAGGAGCACGGTGAGAACCTTAGAACCAGGGTGACTTCTTTTACTTTCGAGATCTGCACAGAGAGAACCTACTGCAGCCCCGGAAAGTAGCTGATTCTTCTGCTGCGTGGCCTCACTGCTGGCGGGCTCCAGCAAGTCAGGCAGCCCCTGAACCCCAGCTGCGTCTGCTGCAGAACAAGCATTCACCCTGCAAACAGTTCCTGAGCACCTCTTCATCCAGGAACTGTGGCCAGGGGCTAGTGACCAAGAGTTGTGCACTTCCAGCCACCAGGGGCTCTCAGGCGCTGGAGGGAGCACTCACACCTGAACAAGCAATCATGGCTGCATATGTTAATATGACATTACGGGGCAAGGACAGGTGTAAGACAATCCAGGCGGGCATGCTATGGAAGAAACGGATAACATAAGGAAGGTTTCCCTGGAGAGCTGAAGGGAGGTGCTCTTTAAACTGGCACAGAATGGGTCACAGGCAGGAGGGATCCAGGCAGAGCTGACACCACATACAAAGGCCTGCAGGTTAGACTCTGGCTCACCTGGTCAACACAAGTGGTGGAAAGATGCACCTGGCACAGAAGAGGTGGGCTTGCCAGGGGGACCTGCCTGGAACAGGAGGTCCCCAAGCCACTTCCCTTCCTCAGAGCCAATGTTGCACTCTTCTGGGAACCCATGGCCTCTCTTTCCCCGAAGGCCCTTTCACAGGAATGGTGAAGGTCTAGAGCATGGTCCAAGTCACCAGGCCCATGCCACCATCCCACAGGGCCCAGTTCCCCCACCCCTCTGAAGGGAATGAGCAGTGACTTAGGAAGGGAACCTGCCACCTGCTTTTTTAAAAACACTCAGGGATCCTCCACACCATCGGCCTTCTTGCCCACTCCCTCTACACCCACTTAGCCCCAAGAAACGCAGCAATCTTCTGTGCTGAGCTACCTGAAGGCTGACACCCTGCTTCAGTCATTCCGGGTCCCCAGCACCAGAACTCTGCCTGAGTTCTGGTGACCTCACGGGGGGCACTCAGAGCAGGTGAGCACTTCCCCAGGGGCCACCCATGTGGCAGTCCCCGCTGAGTCCACCCGGAACAGTCAGTCCCCACTCCACAGGCCTCGCCCCCTGCTCTCCCTCAAGACAGAAACTCAACATCTGAAAGCTTCCAGCTCTTTTCTACCCAATTCCCTTTACACTAGTAAAGATCCTCAGCCCCAGAAGAACATGTAACTTGCCTGAGGTCTCTAACACATGTGCCCTGCTGTTCTTACAAGGAGCACAGCACTGTTTAAACAGAAGGCTATCCAGTCACTACTACTAGAAACACTGCTTTTTAGGAGAAACCCCTCACCGTGTACAAGTCCACGGGAAGCTCCCCTCACCCAGCCACCAACCACACCACACCTTCCCAACTCCTCAGGTCTTCCAGGCAGGACTACACATTCCCATCAGAGCAAACCAATCTATGAAGAGGACCAGGAATTTTTTAAGGGGCTAGATATATTTTCAACTATAAATCAATCTTAAAGTCTCTACAGTATTACCTAAGGCAGCGGTGGCAAATGCATGGCACATATGCCACAGCAGGCTATTATCATGCAAAGGTCTAAAAGATTTGTCATTGCTAAGCTAAGGCTATGACAAATTTTTTTTTAAGTAGAGCTTTTCCAAGTCACTTTGTTTTTTCTGTTATTTCTTTTAATCTTCGCTTTGAGGCAACTTTACTACAACATCACAGATGACGTTTAAAGCAGACACTCCTTTCCAGAACCCTTATAATTCCGAATCTGTATAATTCTGAATCCTTATAATTCTGATTTAGCTCTTTTAGTCACAGGTCTGTACTCTGTGCATATGTACGTACTGCATTTCATTAAAAGGAATTATCTTTAATATATCAGTTCCTGAAATAGGGTCCTGTTTTCTTAAAACAGCAAGACAACAACAACAAAAACCCCTTTATTACGTAAGTCGCCGGCAAGTTATTTCTGATGGGCAACACAAAGTAAAACCCAGGCTATACATTAGCGTACCTGAAAGTTCTGGGTTTGCGACCTTTAGGGCAACGCTTTCCAGCCTGCTTTGGATTTGTAGTTCCGTAATTACTCTGACATTTCTGACATCATTAACAGGAAGCAGACAAAGGAACACAGGTGTAGCACACGGTCCACCTCACCTAGCACCCTCTGCTGCACCACTGGAGTGCGCTAGAGCTGGGTATCACCGCAGGTTTAGGTCAGCATTTCTTCTGCAAGTGAAGCGACATCTCCAGCTTCACCACATTTTGAAATCCTCCTTCCTGCTGGGTGCCAAACCTGGACAGGCAAAGCGACTCTCAAAGGAAGAAAGCCCAGAACTGGACGTTTCCAGAACCCTCCAGGTGAATTTCCTGAGCCGGGGGACCAGAAGCACCAGGCTAGGATAACTCATTAGTCAAAGGTGGCCTCTGGGAAATCTTATCTGGAAGTGAAGAACTCTTTGTAATTAAATAAAATAGCAGATGTAAAAGTACCCAACAGTGCCTATTACCCAGAAGACAATAAATGTTAATTAAACAAGAAAATAGAATTCAAATAATTACTCCTTCCCCTCCGTGAATTCATCTTGTAATTGTATTGTCTTGTTTATCACTCTTTTTTCCTTACCATGATACATTCTATCCCTGGTAATAAAATCACAAACTTATATGCATAATCCTGTTCAATTACAAGAGCTCCTAATATTTCCAAAAACCCATAGTCATTTTATTCATAAAACTTTACCCCATAACAGTGGCTAATATATAGTACACACACAAGTATTAGCTATTTATAATGAGTATCTGCAATGATTTTAATTCAGAATTCATGATCATTTTTCTAAATTAGGCTGAAACATTTCATACCATAATAGGACTTTTAGCAATGAAGTACAAAATGGTAAGGACAATGGTTAACAAACATGAAAACAGGCCTTTAAAGCAAATCTGCTTGTTTGGTTTTTGTTTTGGGATTTTTTCTGGTTCTGGGAATTGAACTCAGGACCCTGTGCTTGCCAGGCAGGCGCTATGCCGCTGAGCTGGGATACCCCAGCCTTAAAGCAATTGTTTCTTAGAATTTTATGGAATATTACATGTAATTAATTGCACAGGTAACTCGAGGGAGCCACCAACTTTTACTCATCCCAAACTTACCTGGAAGCATTACCCTTCCATTAGTTATGAACAGTCTCTCATTCCAGCTTCTCCTGACAGCTGCCTACCTGAGCATGCATCGGAAAGATATTTATTCACATTACCCCTGAGTTCTGAGAAGTCAAATCTCGGTGACAAGAATATACATACAACTTCTGAATCGGAATGAGAAAGTTTTACAAAGAACACTTCCAGATGTTTTGCTATTGGGCTGGGGTAAATTC